GCGTCTATAGTCGCCGATAGACGCTAGCGTCTACGAGCGACTATCCTATAGCCTTACGCTAGCGCTACGTAATTATTGGGCCGGGCTACGCCCCGCGAGTTCTACCTAGCCGCAATATATAGTTGGTTCGTAACACGATGCCCCTCTTAACGTCTTTCGTCCCGAAAGATCGAAGTCGTTGTTTCAAATAGCGCTAACTGCCCTAACTCCCCTGTTTCTTCTGTAAGCCCTTCCCTCCGTCCGCCACTACTTCCGTTATAGCTAACACGCCTAGTAGGCCCTACCGAAACCGCACGCTCGAGCGTTGTACCGCTGCTACTACTATTGACCGTAATGGTCAAGAGGTCGATATACCCTACGAACGTTGTTGGAACGTAAAGCCTCGGAGGCGTTACGTAATAGTACCTAGTTCGAATAAGTGCTCGGGTTATATTCGTCTAGGCAAGAAATATAGTAGTCCGAATGTCATAAGCGCTTGTACGTCCCGCTTGTTTTCCCCTATAGACTTAAGCTAATCCTTCGATAGTAATAGTAAATATATTAGCCTGCAACAAAGTAGATAAAGAAATTATAGATACTAAACGATAGCTATTCGAGGCGTTAAGCTGTCTCTCGTACCTTTACCGCTAGTATAAGACACTAGGTAATACTAGCTCCGAGCTACTAAGCTATAGCTTGGATAGGTTAGAGGAGGATAAATCTAACTCTCCTATACCGATATCGGTAAAATAGTCCTTAGTTAGCTAGGTACAGTCCTTAGGTACCTTTAGTATTGTTAACTAGGAGGCCGCTAGTATAGTCCCCTATAGTAGCCTTAACTAGCTGACCGCCCCCGAGGCTACTTAAAGGTTCGTTCCCCTATATCCTTCTTTCAACAAATAAAATAGTTACGTAGTATAGTAGTCAGCGCGTACGCCTACCGCGTACTTAGCCTTAGGGCCTCTAGCTATCCTAGGGTTAAGCAAGGCTTCGTGCGAGATCGTAGGTTCGAATCCTATCGTAGCCGTAGTCTAGAAAAATCTATACTTCCGGCCAGGGTTCTTCTAAACTCTCTTTTTGCTTGTACTAACTCCTTATTTTAGCGCTTCCTAGGGTATCCCTTCTAGCGCGATTGCTTCGCCTTCGGCTCTTCCCTTAGTCGATCTGGGTTCTAGCGGTAGAAGTTCGTAACCTTCTTAAAGCAGTAGAGATTCTTAGTTAGTTCCTATAAGTTTTTAGTCGAGTCGAAATCTAACTATTTAACTAGATACTCCAGTCGCCTTCCGTTAATATATAAATTAAAGATTTCCTTAACGTCCTATTCTTCTTCCTCGTCCTAGGCTTCGACGTTAGTTATAAGCCTAGTATTCTTAGATACTAGTTCGAGGAGTACGATATAGAAGATATTAGTCCTGACTTTTATTATTATTAGTAGTATAATCCAGTAGTTGTTTTCTAAGATTCGCTCTTCGATCTTAAACAGCCCGATCTTCCTAAAGTCGAGCTTCCTACTTAGTTGGTTTGTCTGTAAATTCTATATATTAAGGTAGACCTTGTCTCCCCTCCCTAGGCAAGGACCCTTAAGCCTATATTTATCGTAGTACTCTTTTATCCTACCTCTAACGAACTCTAGTTCGTCCCTAAGTATCGTATAAAGTATATACATTTGGTTAGCCTTAACTGCTACCCTAGGTACTATAACTACCGGTCCTTAGTACAAGTCTACCTAGTACCTAAAGTTCGCGAAGAACAGGGTGACTTTCGTAGTCTCTATAGGTAATATATTGTATACGAGCTATGCTATAGGTAGAAGTATAACCTAATTGTCCTACTAAAAATTGATGTAAAGTCGGAGGTATTGTTCTACGATCTAGTTAAGTCGCTCTGTCTATCTATCTGTTTAAGGATAATAAGCTATCGAGAGCTTGCTCTTCGTTCCTAGACGCTTTATAAGGGCCTGCTAGAACTTCGATACGAACTTAGTATCTCTATCTATAATCTATTCCTTAGGCTACTACGTATAGACTAATATAATATATCGATAGATCACGTCTACGAGTTGTTCTACTAACCACAACTCCTTATATAGAAAGAAGTAGCTCTACTTAGTAAGTCGATTAACTATAGTAAGAATACTATCGTAGGTCGTTCCCGTCGTTATATCTTTCGATAGTAGTAGCTTAGTAATAAAGTCCATTGTTACCGAGCTCTATAGTCGTACTATAACCAGTAGCGGTTGAAGGAGTCTATAGGGCTTGTACCTATCTGGCTTACCTCGCCGGTATAGATCATATACCACGAGCACCTCCTTAACCTTCTTCCTAAGTTCTAGGAAATCGTAGTATTGCTTGATCTGTATAACTATCTTAGCGATTCCTATATATCCTCCGAGTCTTAACTCGTGGATTTCCTTAATAAGCACGGTCTATTTGATCTTGCCGACGTAGGCCTTATCGTTATATAGTAATCCATTAGACTTTGGATCCTAACAAACCCCTTTATTTAGGCCGTCGTATTCGCTATCTTCGCCCATCGACTAGTGACGTTGGTACATCTAGTCCTCGAGTATAGCCTAGTAGCTATACTCGTTATATCGTTCCTAGAACACAGCGCCGTACTCCACGGGTTACGCTAGGTAATACAGCGACCCGTCCGCCTATTCCTCGAACATCGGTGGTACTATCTCCTGGAACTTACCTATATAGTCGGATCTCCTACTTAGAGCGTCTGCCCGAGCGTTCTCTATCCCCTTGATCCTTTTGATCGTAAAGTGGAACTATATTAGAAACTCTCGCTATCGAGACTGCTATAGGCTAAGGTCCTGTTTTACTACGAAGTACTAGAGGTTCTAGTGATCTATATATACCTAGACTAGTTGTTCCGTACTGCTAAGGTACGACTTCTACTTATAGAAAGCTATAATAATAGCTATTAGTTCCTTATTGTGAACTATATACTTCCTTTATATATCGTCGAATTTCTTCGAAAAGAAGGCGATAGGGCGCTTCTTGCTCTTATCGTCTTTCTATATAAGCTATCCTCCTATCGCGAAGTCCAAGGCGTCGGTCTCGACTTCGTAGGGCTTCGTTGAATCAGGTAATAGGAGTATTATATCTAACGTAACTAGTTTCTATAGCCACTAAAAGGCCTACTCCTGTTGTTCCCCCTACTAGAACTTAGCGTCCTTCTTTATAAGGTTATATAGTAGTTGTACAATATTACTAAATCCCTTGATAAATATATAGTAGAAGTTAATAAAGCTAATAAATACTCTAACTTCTATTGTTATTATTAGTATAGGCTAGTTCCTAACTACCTCGACCTTAGTTAGTTCTATCCTAACTTCTCCTAGTATAATCTTATAGCCGAGGAAAACTAACTTCTAAACGTAGAACTCGCTCTTCTCCTTGTTGACTAAGAGCTTCTATATATATAGTACGTCCAGCACTTGCTTTACATACTCCTTATACTCCCTAAACGTTTTCGAGTAGATAAGGATATTATCAAGATAATATACTACGAACTTGTCTAGATATAAGCGTATCGTATAGTTAACTATAGCTTGGAAGGTAGCTAGCGTATTCGTTAGCCTGAACGGCATTGTTAGGTACTTATAGAGTCCGTAATAAGTCTAGAAAGCTATCTTCTATTCGTCTCCCGCTTTAATACAAACGTAGGTATATACAGTCGGAAGGTCGAGTTACATAAAGTAGCGGGCCCCTACTAGATAGTCTCGAAGCTAGTCGATCCTAGGTAAGGGGTACCGGTTCTTTACGGTCTTGTCGTTCAACTGTCGGTAGTCTATATATATCCAGAGTTTCCTATCCTTCTTCGGCACGAAGAGGATCGGGTATCCCGCTAGTAACTTTGATGTCTTTTGGCACCCCTGGCGTTCCCTGCGCTGTTAGCCCCTTAGGCACTTTGGCACCTTGGGCACTTTTAGCACTTTTAGCACCTTGCGCCTCCTCGCCCGTCGCTTGCGGTAGATCCTTGAAGTATATATATCTAGTGCCGCTTGTCTGTGATCCTTCGTCTACGCCTCCTATCATATTAGTCGGATATAGTCCTAGTTCTAGTCGGGGCTATAGGTAGCTACCTCCCT